ATCTTTTTTTTTTTATTTCAGAAATAAAATACATTTCTGGTAGATCATCCTAGCCTTTCAATTGTTATGATTCCAATATGATTGTAAAGAATGATTTACGAACAGAATTGACTAAAACTGATGAGCATTTCGTGTTACTCATGTTGTTCAGCAATAGTGGAATTTGGCGATCCTGAAAGAGATAAAATTTTCTTAGAAGAGTTTAAGGCACTGCTTTTGTGTAGAAAAGTGTGGATGGTGTCTTCAATTCACAAGGGTGAAGAGGAAGGTTGGTTCTTAAATTCATAAGGGTGATCTGCTGGCTTCTTTATAAATTAGAGTACTTACCTAGCATTTCTCACTTCTCGTGCTTCTAGATCCATATTCGAGAAAAGAAGTTTTAGGGACAGGTGTGAGAATTTTTTAACAAAGCAACCAAGGATTTCCATACCAGTATTGACGTGAAATTTGTGCCTTTATATTATCTTTTGAAACATCCATATAATTATCGTATTAACTCATACTCATGAAACTTTCTGCAGTGTTTATAGGAGCTCACAACATGCTAAGGCAGATGCATGCTAACATACTAACTATTATTGTGCCTCGTCAACCTCAGTGTGGACAATCTATTGCTCAGGTAAGACTTTGTGCCTTAAATCCAGTTATAATTTTATGTGGACATTGCTGCCTGTACGTTTTAGTGTAGTTCCGAAAGCATACTTCTCTTATAGTAACACGTATGGCATAATTTATTAACATTTAAATCTATGAAAGTGATAGATTAAACTAACTACGGGATTCGGGAAGGAGTTCTTTTTTCCATCCATTTAATTTGGACTTATTTTCTCTTTAAATTTCTCTAGCAAGCTTATCATGGTGGGTCTGTGATATTTGTAAGATATAATCCTGCAGTTTCCTTGTTAGTGAATTGCAACTTCCTTGCACTTTCATTAGACTTTCATTGCACTTTCATGGCATCACTTTAGGTTGATTTTTCAGCTTAGGAAATTTCTAAGAAAGCCACTGGAATAGTTGTTTTTAGTTTTTATAAATAGGTGCAGTTTTATTTGTTAACATAAAGAGAAAAAAACTGAATACTCAATACATTGAGTTGTTCACAATCTTCTTCTTCCATTCTAAAGGTGTTCGTTTGTGCCGGGAAGCATTTTTGTTTACCTAAATAGTGCAGCTCAGCTGCAAACAGAGTAGCTGTGAACGAGCAGGGATTAACAAGTGGCATCAGAGCCATGGCAAGCCAAGATGCTGCGTCGACGGTGCAAGGAAGCGGAGTAGACGCTTCACCGCGCCAACAGGTCATCATCCACAGGACCGTGCGGGATGTTGGCGGGGCCAACTGGCCGGTTCTCACACGCACAAACTACGGCGAGTGGGCGGTGCTGATGAAGGTCAAGTTGCATGCGCGCAAGCTTTGGCGGGCCATCGAAGAAGGCACCGAGGATGAAGAAGAAGAATGCACAATGGAAGAAATTTTGTCTGTTGTGCCTCACGAGTACGTGGGGTCACTGGGCGCAAAGGACTCCGCAGAGGCTGCTTGGGACGCTCTCAAGGCCATGCGCATCGGGGTCTGATCGCGCAAAGAAGGCGAAGGCGCAGCAGCTGCGGCGGGAGATGAGGCGCAGGCGTTCCGCGATGGCGAGGCAGTGGAGGATTTCTTGCTCCGTCTGCAGTCGCTCGTCAATCAGCTGGTGGCACACGGCGTCACCATCACCGACGAGGAGGCGGTCGCGAAATACTTACGCGTCGTGCCGCCTAAGTACGCCCAGATCGCGCTTTTCATCGAGACGTTGATCGACATGTCCACCCTCACGATTGAGGATGTGACTGGGCGCTTGCGGGCGGTGGATGACCGCGTGGAGACGGCGACGGTAACTACCAGCGGCAAGTTACTGCTGACCGAGGAAGAATGGGCGGCTCGTATGCGCGAGCGGCGGCCCGGGGAAGGCTCCTCCAGCCGTGGCGGCTACGGCAAGCGCCGTGGCAAGGCTCCGTATAAGAAGAAGAAGGACGGCGAAAACGCGCGTCCGACGACAAGGACATTGTCGACGCTGCGGGAAGACAGGGCACTGGGCTCGGGTCAAGAATCTCAAGAAGGAGAAGAAGGAGGCGCACCTCGCACAGGTGGACGACGAGGAGCCATCTCTTCTCATGGCGAAGTTCTGCACGTTGAACGACGTCGAGCCAGGGTTGGAGAAAGTCAAGCCGGCGACTGCGGAGCAGGCACTGCAGGCAGTTCACCTCGACGAGTCGCGTGCCCAAGTCCACCTTGGACGAATAGGCGGTGGCATGGAGCAGAGGTGGTACCTGGATTACAGCGCCAGTAACCACATGACCGGCTCCAAGGAAGCCTTCTCCGAGCTTGATGACGGCATAACGGGGACGGTGAAGTTCGGCGACGGCTCGAAGGTGGAGATTCGCGGTTGCGGCACAGTCATCTTTCGGTGCCAGAACGGCGAGCACCACGCATTGACGGATGTGTACTATATCCCGCAGTTGCGTTCAAGCATCGTCAGCATCGGGCAACTGGACGAGCACGGCTGCGAGGTGCTTGTCAAAGGTGGCATGCTAAAGCTAAGGGACCGAGAACAGCGGCTGTTGGCCATGGTCCAACGGTCCCGGAACCGCCTCTACCTCCTCGACTCGACTTGAAGGTGGAGCAGCCGGTGTGCTTGGTAGTACGGGATACCAAGGAGCCATGGCTATGGCATGCTCGGTTCGGCCATTTGAACTTTCACGCACGACTGAGGAAGATGGTGCGTGGGCTCCCGCACATCGAGCACGCAGGCGAGCTGTGCGATAGCTGCCTCGCAGGGAAGCAGAGGCGGCTGCCCTTCCCAAAGGCGGCCAAGTATCGTGCGGCGGACGTCCTCGAGCTCGTCCACGGCGACCTCTGCGGGCCGATCACGCTCGCTATGCACGGCGGACGACACTACTTTCTGCTGTTTATGGACGACTGTAGTCGCTTCATGTGGTTGCAGCTCCTGGCGAGTAAGGATCAGGCGGCGGAGGCGATCGAGCGGTTCCAAGCGCGAGCTGAGGACGGATCGTGGTGGCGAGTTCACATCGGTGGAATTCGCCGCGTACTGTTCAAACCAGGGGGTGGTGTGCCATCACACTGCGCCGTACTCACCACAACAAAACGGCATAGTGGAGCGGCTGAATCAGACCGTGGTGGGCATGGGCGTGCCAACGGAGTTCTGGGGAGAGGCTGTGAGCACGGCAGTGTTCATCCTCAACCGTGCGCCCACGAAGGCCCTGAATGGCATGACGCCATTCGAAGCTTGGCATGGTAGGCAGCCCAACGTTACGTTTCTAAAAACGTTTGGGTGCATTGGCCATGTGAAGAAGACGAAGCCCTTCCTGTCCAAGCTTGAGGAGAGGAGCACACCGATGGTGTTTCTAGGCTACGAGGAGGAGAGTAAGGCCTATCGGCTCTATGATCCGCGTGAAGGCAAGGTGGTGGTTTCGCGGGATGTGGTGTTCGACGAAATGGCGGCCTGGGATTGGGAGAATCTTGGCACGGGGGAAGCCTGTGGCGTCGGCGGTTCGTTCGTCATCGAGCATTTGGTGATCCACGGAGGAGGAGATGCGGGAGTAGAGGAGCCGGACACGCCAAGTCCAGCAGCTGTGGTGGCGTCGGATGAGCCGCAAAGTCCGGCCATGGCGGGCACGGACGAAGAGTCTCCATCAGCGGCTGCGCACAGGCCCCCACCACAGTCCCCTGCTACGGTAGGACAGGAGACACCTTATCGTCGCTGAGTTCGCCTCTCCTCCAAGCGACATCGACGAGTATGTGGATGCCTTCCACGACGGCGAGGGGGTGAGGTTTCGCAGGATGGACAACCTTGTTGGCAGCTCGGCTGTACCAGGCTTGGCGAGCCGATTACTCGACGATCAGGAGGAGCTGCTCCTCGTCAGCGCAGAGGAGCCATTGACTTTCGCGCAGGCCGAGCGCGATGTCAATTGGAGACGAGTTATGCTAGAGGAGATAAAGGCAATCGAGGAAAATGAGAAGTGGGAGCTCGTCGATCCACCTCCAGGCTGTCATCCAATCGGGTTCAAATGGGTATACAAGGTCAAGCGGGACGAGTTTGGCGCCATAGTCAAGCACAAGGCGCGCCTCGTTGCTCGCGGTTTCGTTCAACGAGAGGGCATCGACTTTGAGGAAGTTTTTGCACCAGTGGCGCGCATGGAGTCAGTTCGCCTTGGCCATGGCGGCAGCGAAGGACTGGCGCATTCATCACCTGGACGTGAAATCGGCCTTCCTCAATGGCGAGCTAGCGGAGACTGTTTTCGTCAAGCAATCCCCGGGCTTCGTCGTCAAGGGAAAGGAGCACAAGGTGCTGCGGCTATGGAAGGCACTCTATGGGCTGCGACAAGCCCCGCGAGCGTGGAACGCCAAGCTCGATGCCATTCTGGGTACGCTTGGGTTCAAGCGCTGCGCGACAGAGCATGCGCTCTACACGCGGCGACGGGGAAGAAGGAGCTCGTCGTCAGCGTGTATGTGGATGACTTGATCATCACCGGGGCACGAGAAGAGGACATCAACGACTTCAAGCGCGAGATGGCAGCTCGTTTCCGCATGAGCGATCTCGGGCAGCTCTCCTACTACCTCGGCATCGAGGTGAAGCAAGGGAGAGACTCCATCACTCTCTGCCAGCGTGCGTATGCGGGGAAGCTGTTGGAGCGGAGTGGCATGGCTGACTGCAAGTCATGCGTGACTCTGATGGAGGAGCGACTGAAGCTGACGAAAGCCAGCACCGCGAGAAGGTGGATGCAACACTCTACCGGAGTATCGTCGGCGGGCTGCGCTACCTAGTCCACACGAGGCCAGATATCGCATTCGCCGTGGGCTATGTCTCGTTTCATGGAGGACCCCCGAGAGGATCATTGGGCTGTGGTAAAGCGGCTGTTGCGCTATGTCAAGGGGACGGTGGACCAGGGCATCATCTTCCCCAAAACCGGCGGCGGAAGTGGGCTGCGGCTCACGTTTTTCAGTGATGCAGACATGGCAGGCGACATTGATGGACGGAAGAGCACCTCCGGTGTGCTCGTCTTCCTTGGATCGGCCCCAATCTCATGGCAGTCGATGAAACAGAAGATCGTGGCGCTGTCTACGTGCGAGGCGGAGTACGTGGCGGCAGCTACAGCGGCGTGCCAGGCGGTCTGGCTGCGTCGGTTGCTGGGCGAGTTAACCGGCGAGGAAGCTCATCCACCAGCTCTGATAGTGGACAACCAGCCCGCCATTGCCCTTGCATAAAATCCAGTCCTCCATGACCGGAGCAAGCACATCGATACCCGTTTTCACTTCATCCGGGATTGTGTCGATGAAGGACAGATTGTTTTGGAGTTTGTCGAATCCGGATGGCAGCTCGCAGACATCCTTACTAAGCCACTCGGCCGTCTTCGATTCATGGAGCTGAGGACCAAGATTGGAATGGTGGGAAACAAGCAAGAGCAGCAGGATTAGGAGAAGAATTGTAAGATATAATCCTGCAATTTCCTTGTTAGTGAAGTGCAACTTCCTTGCACTTTCATTACACTTTCATTGCACTTTCATGGCACTTTTATGGCAGCCACTTTAGGTTGATTTTTCAGCTTAGGAAATTTCTAAGAAAGCCACTAGAATAGTTGTTTTTAGTTCTTATATAAGTGCAGTTTTATTTGTAAACATAAAGAGAGAAAAACTCAATACTCAATACATTGAGTTGTTCACAATCTTCTTTTCTAAAGGTGTCCGTTTGTGCCGGGAAGCATTTTTGCTTACCTAAATAGTGCAGCTCAGCTGCAAACAGAGTAGTTGTGAACGAGCAGGGACTAACAATATTTGTAGTACTTCTTAAACTTTCCCTTCTTTATTAGTCTGTACTCTGCTACCTGGGAAATATTCTTATGGACAAAATAAAAAGTTGCCATGCAGTCATTTAGTGAGATGTTGAACACAAGTTACCAATTGTATGATGCTTTTGTTCTCTCTCGTAATATACCTGCAGATCTCATCCTAAGATTTCTAATTGCTGCTAAAACGATTTAAAGTTACTTCAATCTATAAATAGTGTGCACATGTTAGTTATTACATAGTTTCATGTGTACTTCTAGCAACAAGCCTCGTGAAATTTGCCATACAGCTTTCAGAAATTGTACATTGATTATATTTCATGGCCTTGTTGACAGCTAACTTATATTTGGCTCTAATGACAGAAATTGAGGGAGCAAGGATTTTGTGTGGCATTGAGATCTCATGGTGACTACCCCACCACTGAAACAAGTGTTTATGTAGTCGACTCATTAGGTAGACCTTTGCATCTATCTTTTACCTTTGTTGAGTTATGTAGATTACAATATGTTGGGAGCTGATTGTATTGCACCCAAGAGCCATCCATGGCGAACAGTTATCTTTTATTGTTTAATTTTTTTTCATCGTTTTACATTTTCCTGATTTTTTCCTCATCCATTTGTGTACTTTGTCCTCGGACAAAGACATCACTGAAAAGAAATTTAGCTATAATTTTTCTTTATTCCTTCACCCTATGAAAGTTCAATTTAACTGAGATTCATATTTATTGAGCAAGCAACTTAATTCGTATAATCAGATCTACTTTGTATTTACTTTGTTCCTTACTTCATACACTGAGTAGGATTTCTCAGGGGTGCAATGTCAAAGTGGAGCCTAAGCTATTTAGACATGCTCTACTCCAGTTTTGCCCTCGTCATATTTTCCCCCAAGTGCCTCTCTCTCTCTCTTTCCTTTTTTAATGCTCACATGTAGAATTCTAAAATTGATCTTGTGACTTTTTCTTGATTGTATTTTGAGCATTAACTCCTTTATCCATTGGCCCATGGGCATAATACGCAGAAATTGACCAGTTATGCATTGGTTTTCCTTATAACTCTGAAATCACCAAATAAGTTTTCTCAAGCAAAAATCAGATTTAGTTAATCTACTTTGCCAGATTAGCTTACCAACTAGGCATACCGAATCATGTGTTAGCAAAATACGATTGTGGTGATATTATAATGAGAAGAGTTATGGATGCTTGCTATGTGTATAATGAGAAATGGATGGTTGCCATGGGTATTTTCGGTAACCCAATATGTAAACCGTTCTGGCAATGTAGACTCATAAGGCATATCTTACATAACGACAAGGAAGTTCACAAAGTCTTGCTGCGTAGTCTTTCTATATGTATCATGTAGAGAATTAATCTCAAATGTCTTATCTTCATTTGTAGGTGAACTGAGAAATTTTTATGGATCGACGCCAATAGCTGTAATAGGAGGTTCATTCATACAGGGATCAGCTGGTCACAACATATCAGAAGCTGCTGCTGTTGGCTGTGCTATTTTGACAGGTAGATAAATTTAAAGAAAAATAAAAAGAAAAAACATGTTACCAAATTCCTGATATGTGGTTAAAATTTTTTCCAGGTCATCATGTTGGCCACTTCTCGCATATGGTAGCAGAAATGCAGCGGGTCAATCCCCTTTCAGTTCTACAAGTACGAAGAATGTTATTCAATTTGTGTTTTCTTGCTTTCCTTCACCATGACACACTCTCTCCCACTCTCAACATATGAGACTTGTTTTGGTAAATTTACGGCTGGCTTGTTGAATATAGCCTACTATTGTTTAAGGTATCTGGTGAAAACCTTGTTGAAGCTGTTAACGAGCTCCTTAGCAATGTAAAAATTCTGGAAGCACGACGTGCAGCTGCCAGACAAGCATTCCGTGCATTGTCCAATGGAGTTGTTGAAAGTGTATGGGAAATGTTGAAGTGCCATGTATTTATCAAGTCCATGATCAGATATGGCTGTAATGGAACAAAAAGCTAAGCATAAAGGGGTACGTTTATCTTTCCAAAAACAAATAAGTCAGAAAAAATAGGACTGCCACCAAACTAAGTGCATAAAGTTACACTATTATTAAACAACTAAACCATGCATACATGCTAGTTTGCATCTAGAAAGTATTAATCTAATTGCTGTCGAGAAGGAAGTGATTCTATGTTCTTGTATAGCATAGCATATTATGATTTAAGAATTTGATTTTATTATCATCTTATCTTTTTCGGCCATCTCGTCTTTTGTTTCAGAGGAATGTCACTATGCCTGAAAGAAAATTGGTTTCGGCCATCTCCTTTATTGATGTTGGACTTAGTTATGTGATCTTGAGAGGCTATTAGCTGAGTTATTTTATTATTTCCACTACAGGCTCAGGGAAATGAAACAAAATAGGTAAACTATAAACATCTGCAGTTTGGTAAAGTGGTTTGAAGAAAGAGGAGGTTGCAATGTCAAGTATGCCCTCGACTTTCAGACAGGTTGAAAATGTATTGTAGACGTATGTGTTGTTGCCTGGCTGCACAGTAATTTAACTGAGTTAATCGTTTCTCTTGCAATTGGCCTCTGGAATTCAAAGGTAACTCGGTTCATCTCCATGGGTCCTTTGAAATGAGATGAAGTACTTGTGTGATGGTTATCATTTTCCTTGTGCTTGAGAAATGAGTTTTTAGGAAAGTTACTGAGAACCCTTGAAATTTAGAAAATACCCTTGGGCCTCGTTTTCCCAAGGACCTGTCAAGGATAGTAAACGAGGCCTTGAGATTCGATAATGAGGGCATTATATATCTGGGGTGTAGTTGTAATATTTTCAAACCTCAAGGGTATTTCCACGGAGGCTTAGTAAAAAGAACAATGTTGAGGAGGCTAAATTAAAAAGAAAAAAAAAAGTTCAAGGGGCATAATTTTATGTCTATAGTAAGTAGGCTAACATTTCACATGTACGTTATACTTATAATATCACAAGAGACGCAAATGGGGGTTCCCTATTAGTTTATGGTTTTGTTTGGTGATCAGCATTTTGAGTTCAATTAGAAACTTTGACCCGTCCAAACCTCAAATTTAGTTATTTGGTAAGTGACGGTTCAGAATAGCTTTTTAAATTTAAAAGACTAATTTTGGAAAAAGGCTCAAAATAATTTAAGGTAGTAAATAAGTTGTTTTAACATATGGTGATTTTGTAGGGCCTATGTTTTTGTTTCGTGAAGGATAAAATGCATTCCAAAACTAAATCTCATGGAGGGTTTTCAAAGAACTCCGGGACTTTTGGGTTCGATAATTAGCCCAAATCTATCAGCAATATATTTGTAATCATCCCTTTTATATTCACGAGTAACCAATTTGATTTGGATTAAAAAATAAAAAGTGGAGCTTTGGGAGTGAAATCTTGGCGTAAAGATATGCAACTATGTGAGAGAAATCTACTAGCCTATGTATTATGTTCATTTTCACTTGAGCTCAAAGCTATTCTTCATTTTTTGGTGTGATTTGGTACAAAGCAGTAGGCTCTGTAGCACATAGCATCACTTTTGCCGACAAATTGACAAGCTTACTGTGGCTTTGTTGAATGTTGACAACACTTTTTACTGTTACATAGTTGAATTCATCTTATCTATGGCAACTGTATTTGTCCGAGCAAAGATGTAGCAGAACAAGAACATATGTTTCAAGATTTTGACGTGAGAATAGGTTTTTTCTAAGTACACGGCGTGCGTGTACTATCTGTAAGAACATGGTAATTGTGGGGGTTTTTTCCGGTGATTTCTTGTATTGTTTGTGCCTGGACTGGAGCTGTAATTTTTAGGAATTCTTTTGGAGAGAGAAATCGTACGGCTAGGCAAACCTAAGAAAATAATATTTTTTTCAATAAATATGAATATTTTTAAATCAAAATACGACCATACTAACTAATAATGATCTTCTGATTTTGTTTGTGATTTTATTGAAAGAAGAATTTTGAACCAGGTTGGATTTTCGAACTCATGGCCTAGGGCATTAACTCCTGTTTGTTTCTTTGTGGCTTGCCAATAAATGAATTTTATAACTGCTAAGAAGTGGGAGAGTTTTTATGGAATCAAGTTTTGGATGTCTTGAGATTTGGTGGACATAATTTTATTTTTAGTCCTAGTCTAGTTTCAGCAAAGGTCCACTCTTTTGGAGACATCAAACTTAATATACATTAACTTATAAAATTTATAAAATAAGGTACACTAATCATTAGTGGCAAGATAAAATTCATTGTTTGCTTTTCGGCCTAATTCGAACGTCGTTCGATGTCCGTTTCAAGTAGGTCGTACTCATAAAAGTTTAGTTCAATCATAGTTTGTTTGTCCATTCAATTTTCCATCTGAAAAACTTTGGGTTATTTTCTATCCAGTTGACGCCATCTAAAGATTTGGTTTTGGTGGCAACCCACCATAAGAGTTTTT